TATATATATATATATATATATATATATATATATACAGGGTTACCAGCCCGTACGTACGGAGGTCCCTGAGCAGACCTCCGTACGTACGGGCGTTCGGGGTCCCGTACGGGGTCCGAACCCGACGGTGTTCGGCCCTCGCCAAAAACTATGTCGGGGCCTAAAAATATCTGTTTTTTTCTGATTTTTTTTTTGTGAGTTCTCTATGATGTGAGGTACACGCCTAGGAATTTTCAAGTTATTTGGCTCATCCCAATAAGAATTAAAAATCTCCAAACATGGCGGTATCAAAACGTGTTTGCCCACATTTGTTTTCACTTTTTACTTTTTGTTTTCACTTTAGTTCGGGGTCTAAACAATTTTATTATATTTTGAAACTTTTTTAGTGTGTTATGCATTATGTGAAGTACACACATCTAAATTTTCAGGACATTTGGCTATTCCAAACAAAAATGAAAAATCGCCAAAGATGGCAGTGTCGAAAACGTGCACGCGAACTCACTAAATTTAATTCTTTTTTTATTTTTTGTTATTTTTATTATTAGTATTTGTTTTTCATAATTTATTTTTATTTCAAATAAAGCAAGGAATTTGGATGTAATGCTCAGGCAAATCTTGTTTAGTTTATTTTTCTTCATAACATATCTTTTTTTTCAGATTTTTTTGATTTTTTTGATTTTTTTTTTTTTTTTTTTTTTTTTTTTGGGTCCGCGTTCGGCCCGAACGGCCGAACGCATCCCCAACGGGTCCCATACGTTCGGGCGTTCGGGTTCGGGCGTTCGGCCCGTCCCGAACCCCGGTTACCCTGGATTTAATCAAATTTTCAGTGATGTTTAATATTTTCAAATGTTTCTTTTTTCTTTTTGCATTCCAGGTCTTTGGAAGGGAAAGGTTTGAAGTGTGAATTTCCAAGCAACACGTTATCGAAGCTCACGACAATCAGACAGATATTGTTGAAGTCAAATCAATTCTTCGGCACCGTGAATTGGACAGAGCTCTCCAAACTTCAGAGTCTGACGGTAATCAATCGACCTTGTAATAAGTACTAAATTAATAATTTAATACTAATAAGTAGTAATATCCTTCTCTTTTTTTTTTCTTCCCCCTCTGTTTCCGCAAAAAAAGAACGCAGGTCGAGGGTAGCCTGCCACACTGGGAGGACCCTGACTTTCTGGACTACCTCCTGTTTTGAACGTTTGAAGTTTATTAATCTTATGGCCCTTGATGTTTCTTTTTTCTTTTCCTCTTTTTCCTTTTTTTATTATGGATATCGTGGAATTTTAATTATCGGATTATTATCCTTTTTTTTTCTTTGTTTAAAATGTAAAAAAAAGGGATTTCAATGATCCTAGTTCAAACTTCAAACATAATGCCAAACGCAAATTTGAGACAATTCCAGGAAGGGCAACTCAAGATTGGAGCGATGTTAAAAAAAAAAAAAAGTTGGGGGAAAGGATGAGAGTGACAAAAGAACGAAGATAATAATGAAGTGAAATGGTTTTCACCTTTTGCAGTCACAGATGCGGATCCCAGGGCTCGATTCCCAGACCTTAAACCTTCCCTGTGTATAGCATCAAGTCGACCCTGTGTGTCTTGAACCCGTGACCTGTGTGTTAGTAGTTGAAAGTTGTCTGTCGTAGGTCTGTGTAGTTGTTGGGTCTTGAACCTTAGACCTGTCGAAGTAGGGGTCATACCTGCATAGGGGTCATAGTTGTTGAAGTTCTGAAAGGTCAAGGTCGTAGCTGCTACAGTCCTGAAAGGCCAAGTCCGCAAACTTCCAGAAGGTCGGGAAGTGGCCTTTCAAGTTTCTTCTCACGTTATACACAGCAGACCAGAGGCAAGTGGGCAAGTGGTGAGTCCAACTTCGCTTCGTCAGCGGGACCCAGTCCCAGTCTCACTTTGTACAGTCAGCAAGTACCATGAGGGACTGTGTGCACCATGGGCCCGGTGGAAAAGGGCAGACCAACGACCTACAGAAGTATAAATCAACAAGCAGCGTCCAGCCATGGATTCATTCCTGCGTGAGCCATGCGGAAGCGCTGCCCGAGCGTCTTGTGCGAGGTGGTCTGCAGGTGCCCGAGGTCGAAGTGGGCTCGAAGGAGTCAGTGCGTCATAGTTAGTAGTAGCCGGCGGCCATAGCCGCCATAGCTAGTGTTAGGTGTTAGTGTGTGTGTACGAGTGTGTGATACAGTGAATGCATGTGGGGTATTCAGGGTGATCCAGAATTGAGCGTGTGCGAACAGTGGTGTTGGCACAGTGTTGAGAGTTGGGATGTACAGGCGCTGATGCGCCATAGCCTGTTGAAGCGAGTTTGCATCTGAACTGTGTTCTCGATTTCCATATCTCTGAGCTTTGAGTGGGCGCTTTGCGCCAGTGTGAATCGCCATCTGTTTGCATGTATGCGAAGTGAAGAAGAAAGCGAGTCTGATTGCATTGGTATCAGAGCCGGTTCCCATTATCCCACCCGCCATCATTGTCTGGGCGCCATAGCTGAAGCCATGCCATCGAAGGAGGAAGGTCCGCCATAGCTGCGCCGCCAAAGAAAGGTGTCGCGTACCTGCAAAGAAGACAACGGTGAAGAGAGAGAGAGAGAGAGAGAGAGAGAGAGAGAGAGAGAGAG